ACGCGCGACAAATCTCCTTGGCGCTTCGTGATCCGAGTGCAAAGCGAGCGTTCCGAACGCTCGTGAAAATACTCGTCGAGGGAGAATCCGTTTGGAAATTCTCGACGCTTCTCTGGATAGAGAAACAGATCGACGCGAACCTTCTCGTCGGAATATTACGAGTTTCGAAGTCGAAAATCGTTTTAACGATCATTCGACAGCGTTCCGGTTGAACGCGCGCTCCGACTCCGCGCGATATTTCCAGAAAACCGGAGAAAGAAAGAGGTGTTTGAAGAACGACGAGGCACGAGAGCGGCTCGGAGAGGGTCAGTCGCGTGGAAAATGACGGGATAAGTGGTTTTGTTCTCGGAGACACGGCTTTTTACCTTCTCGTTCTACCTTTTTTAACGAGCCTCTCGAGCCTGGCCGAGGAGCGGAGAAGAACGAGGGAACAACGCGAAAACACAGGAAGAAACGGAGGGAGAAAGGCGACAAATAGGAAGCCGGTCGTCGAAAAAGTTGCGGTACGTGCCGAAGTGGTCTGCCCTCTGACGTACCGTGTTACCGTTCCTGGAGGACCTCGATTACGCGTCAGTCATTAAACCGGCTTCGTGTAGCGAATCCGACGCCACTCCAGAAAAACACGCGAACAAACGGGAAAGGCAGGAGGAAATCCGATGACGAAGGAGAGAGGATAACGGTCGAGAACGACGAGTGGACGGAATCCTCCAAGGTTTCGAGTGGCCGATTCGAGCAAGTGTTTTATAACGAGCAACGTTATCCAATTTGCCTGTCCGACGTCCGGTACATATCGATTTTCTCTCCCGAAATCGCATCATCGATACGTCTTAGGATCCGCTCGTTGTCTCTTTAACTCCCTTCGACGATTAGCGCACGGCGAGATTTATTTCATCGCGCGTGAAATTAAAGTTATTGGCTGTGGCTGAAAAATACGCATCGCGGAGGAATAATCGATAGCAGGCGGTCGAATAAAGTTCTTTGTAAAAACGTTGTAATTCGCTATCGATGGAAGAGCGTTCAAAGCAGGTTTTTGTTGCTCCTCGTACTGATTTACCCTTTGAAAAATGACTTCCTGGTTGTACGCTGCAACAGAATGAAGCGACAGCCGCGAAATGACGCAGCGTTTCCTCCCGAGAACCGTGTATCACGGCGTGTCTCACGCAAAGGGATACGTCACCGGCGTGATTTATCGAACGAATCCTTAAGCGAGGTAACGCTAACTCGGGGAATAAGTTCCCGAAACTTTTAACGACGATAACTCCGGTACGTTCGGTGTTTAACGTTCAACGACGAACTTCCCACGGTAATAATCCGAACGATCTTCGAAACGTTAAACATCGGATTACGAACGTGTTTCGGCCTCGTAGCGGGTAATTTATCGGCTGAAATTCAAGCTCGCGGGAAGGACAAGCGAAAAAAGTTAATTACGGGTTAACCGACTCGTCGAGTGGAAATTACGGCGAGTGCAAAGGGTTAACGAGCAACGCCCTTAAAAGCGAGGGAGACTTTTGGCATCGAGTAAAACAGCGCCAGCTAATGTTGCCAACCGAGATTCGTAAAAAGGAAAACCTTTTAAAGGATACGGCGTTGAATGCCGCGGGAACGAAAGGCAATTCTTTACCAACGAATCCATACGTTTCTGAGGTTGGCGCGATATAAATTTCCTCGCGCGTCCCACAATTCGGTTCATGCGTCAACTTGTCAATGCGCGGCAAAGAAACCCTACCGCGACAAAGCTGGAACGATTTATTCGCGGAAATTCGAGTCCATCGGGACGCTTTGAACGCTTCCATTACGCGATAAAACGGCCAAGCCCCTCGCGAGAAAATACATTTACCATCGGCGAACGATTACGTTACATTTTCTCCGCTCGTTGCTTTCGATACGCGCGGTACAAAGAGGCGTACTGCAAAGAGCACCGTTCGGTGATTACAACGAGATTTCTCCTAATTAGTCGATCGTTTTAGTAATCTCGCTGCGATGCTGGAACTCGGTAAAAATTTCTCGCGGCAAAACTTTTTCTACCACTTAGGTGCGAAAATTCTTTCTCGAAACGTTTCTCGCGATCAAAGGAACGGAAACGCGAAAGAACTTTCGAGCTTCTCGACCCGCGCCGTTCCTCCCATTTAATTCCCCGGCTTTCAAAAGCTGCTTTCTCTCGTGATTTTACTTTCTAATGGCCTTTGACGCGTTTCGAACGATACTACTTCGCGATACGAAAGAAGAATGCGAGATTTCGAAATTTGTCTCGTCGGAACGATTTTAATTTATTTCCGGCCTTTCTCGTATCGCGAGAAAACTCGATTGATATTTCACGAGAAGGAGAAGGCAAATAAAAGACCGTTCGCATCTTGCCGGTTCATCGGCTAGTTCGGTCACGTATCGCGAAGCGCGAAACAGAGAATCCCGTCGCTGCAACTTCCGCCGAGTATCGGGAGTCACAGCGAAGTGGCTGAAAATCCAGTTTCATAAACTTTTCAGCGAAAATCTTGTTACGCGGTTGCCGATAAGCTGCTAAAATGTTCACCGAAAAACCATTATTCCGTCTCGGGTAAAATTACGAAGAACCGGTGCCGAGGCAGCTTCATAATTCGCGGTAGTTTACCCGATTTTTAATTACCGTGTCACGGACAACGAGAAGCCGCGCAACGTTTCGCTGCAACGAAGCGGTCTCGTTTTTATTTTCTCCCGTAGAAAAGAAAGAAAACGAAGATTCGGGTCGAACGAGCGCGCGCTGCTCGTATTTCGCTAACGCGTAATCTGTCGCCGTGGAGTCGAGAAATTAAGCTCGCAAAACAATACGAGGCGCGTTCGCCGACGCCGTGTCGGATTAACGGGTTTATTTAATTCCAGCTGGCAGGCAATATTAATTTTCTCGTTGCGAATGCAAATTATTTCGTTTCGAGACGACTCCGCTTTCGACGTGTCTTGCCGCTCGTTCGTAAAATCACGTTTGCATAAGAGCGTACACGCATCGGGCCGAGTTACTTTTACGCGCGCACGCGGCAAATGCGTTCGGGTGCGGTTGTGCGTACGGGATGACGTTTTAACTGTGCCCGTTCGGCCGTATTTGCATAACTACGTTAAATTTTCCGTGGCCGCGTTGCGCAACAGAGCTTTAGTGTTCCGCGAATAAAATAAAACGAAATTGTTGGAAATTTTGCGTTTGCCTTTGCTATTCTTCCCGCGATTCGTTCGCATAATTTCGTGCCCGCGCGATACTTTGCGGACAGAGAACATTTACCCGCGGACAGCGCGGGTCATTGTACCTAATCCGAGCAAACAAAGCTTGCGCGTTGTTTTAGATGTCTAAGCCGGTTAAACAGAGCATACGAGACACGTACGTTATGTACGTGACAGCGTATCGCGTTGTTTCAGAAAATTACCGCGATGACCGATGGTCTAACCCGAGTTCGGGTTAACCTACGAATTAAAACGTTTCTATTTAAATTTTCAAAAACGCGACCACAATCGGTGCAACTTTATTGTTCGGGACAATCCTACGTATTTTTAATGGCGAAAGTCAATACCACCGGAGGAATACACCGTTCTATTGCACTCCCCGTGTCCGATAACAACTTTTTCTGCCAGTTTCGTAACCTCTTTTCGCAACGCAACTTGTTTGCATTTATTTAGCAAGTAAATATTCGACGTACGCGAGCGAATTAAACTAGCGTGGTCTAGTTTTGATAGTAATTTACAGTCCTCTTTAATCGCTAAACAGTTGCACGCGTCGATGCATCCAGAAGCCGCGTCTTTCGTTCGCGCTTTCTACATTTTTCACCGTCACGTTCTACAGTGTCTGCGACGCGGAAAGAGTCCGACCCGCGAAGATATTGTGCCAACGATTTTTCAAAATGGTCCGCCGCGTCGGATGAATATTCATGAAAAGCAGACCGACGACGCACTGCACCTGTGTGCATGCATTTTTTGCCGGAGCTCGGCTGGGATTGCATTCGCGCGACAAACTGCGCCGATGAAAGCGCGATTCGTATCTCGGGGGTGATCGTACTTGGAATTATACGGTAACGTTGAAAAGAGGGAGAAAAGTGGGGTGTCGCGAGCCGTATCGAAGAGAGTTAATGGCAACAGGACAACCGTACGTGGATACCGTGTAGCGGGTCGATACGTTCGTCGACGCTCCGTCGTTACTCGAAAGCGTCCAGCCAAAAAATATGTGACTTTTATGCTCTTTCTACGAGGCGATCCGGGAGAACATCGTCGGAAGAAAAGATCTACGATTCGTCGATCGCGTCGTAAAGTTCTTGTTCGCTCGGCGAACAAATCCGTATTTAAGATCGCCGGTAATTTATAACGTTTATCAAGATTTTCTATAATATCGCGCGAAACTAAATAAATAAATCTTTTCGGCCTTCTCTCGCGAAAAAAAGGTGGGTAAAGCAGTATGGCGGCAGAAAATTTATTAGCTTCTCCACTCTGCTCGCTCCTCCGCTTCCTCCCCGTGAATTTTCCTTATCGCGAGTTCTCGCGACCGAGTTTTCATCCGCCACGACGAACACGGAGAAGCTTCGAAACACCCACGAAATAGAATACGTGCCGACTTTATGCCGTTCGTTCTTCGTTTACGAGACACTTTTTCTCGGTCTCCTTTTTAGACGGCCACGCAGTACGTTATAAAAGAAGAAATGATGCGTAATGAGTACACACGGTTCGATGAAATCCGAGTGCGCGGTTCGTTGGAAATCGTGCGCAGCAGGGGTGGCAGTAACTTTCTAAATTATTGCCAGCAATTTATTACACGCTTTGCTCGACCGCGCCGTTGTTTTCCCGCGATTCGACCTGCGGTTTTCAAGCGTATCCGGCGAACCGTGTGCCCTGGATAAATGGTTGCTTACTTTGGGGATTCGGGCTTGAAAAAGGCGACAAAACCGTGTGTTCGTGAGGCGCGCCAAGTAAATCCCGATATTCCTGATCGTAACGGAGCACCTTCGCGTACAAACTCGACCACGAGTCTAACGAAGTATCGATCTTGTTTGCAGGCATGCGACTGTTTGGGCATTAGCAAGGAGTGCGACTACTTTGGACTGAAGTATCAGAACGCGAAAGGCGAAGAGCTTTGGTTGAATCTGAGGAATCCCATCGAAAGACAAACGGGCGGCGGCGTGGCGCCTCTGAGGTTCGCGTTGAGGGTTAAGTTTTGGGTTCCGCCTCACCTGTTGCTGCAGGAAGCTACCAGGTAAAAAGAAGCTTCGATCATGAAACGCGATCTCGGGTAATTACCCGGCGACGAACGATCCGGGCACGCAAAGCGGATTTCGGAAAAGCGTTTAAAAGTTTCGCCGCAAGTTGGAAACGAGCGCGAAGACGACGAGGAATCGATGTAACGCGGCAGAAGTATAAAAGTTTGGCCGGGTTCGTTGAGCTAGCGATCGAATCATAAACGGTTATAAGAGGACAAATTGCACGGTACGTCGCGGAATTGCTGGGGTGGTACCAATCGCGATAGTTACGCGCGTCGAATCCCCGGTTATTCGGAGACTCGAATATTTGGCAAACAAAAGCTTCTGCCGTTAGCGCGGATCGTCGATATCGAGTGTATATTTTACGCGGACAGCCGAAACGGTACAAGTTTCATGAAATCGTCACGGTCGTGAATCACGAGGTAGACCGGCCGTAACTCTTCGAGCAGAATTTCATCGAATCGAACGGTAATTTGGATTTAATCGCGGACATTCCGGTTGGCCTTGACGAAGGTAAAACGAACGAGCGAGGAGCAACGCGGGAATTAATTTGTTGCCAAATGGTAAGGTCGGTTGCAACCGGACTACCGTAATTGCGCCAGCTGACGCGTACGCCTCGTTCGTTCGTTAGCTTGCCCCGTTTTTGTCCGGCTGTTCAGCAACACGTGTTCCTAGATTTACGCCGTCGAAACCGCCATCGATACCGTGCATGGAAAAACCGGAAAATCGTCGCAGAAAATTAAATCGTTCGCCGTGAAATCTCTGCCTCGACTCGAATTACCTTTGTCCGATCGTTGCGTCGGCCCTGTTGTTCGCGGCGTAATCAATCGGCATTCGTTTCGATTTTGCGCGATTGGAAATTTCGCGAGATACTCGAGAAGGTAATTGCGACGGTTACAGTCGTGCTCCTCCATAAAGGTTGAAATCGAAAACGACGACAAGCAGGTTCGTTATTTCGCGACAGAAGCATCGCTATCGAGAATCGATAAATCGCGTATTATTCCGATAGTAATCTACCTGCCACGGATTCATTTTCTTGCCGTATTAATTCGATATTCCGGGCCACGCGTATAAGTATATAACTCACGAGCCGAAAGTTTAATTGGATAAACGCGACGAGCTGAGCGATATAAATCCCTTGCTTGTTTTCTTCGATCCCTCTATTCCCTCGGGGCAAAGCAAATAAGCGAGGAAAACGGATCGAATTAAAGTTATGAACGTCTACGATCTTCGTCGGGTTGGTAGCTCGATTTTGCCGATCGATCGAACCGAAAAATTCTTGAAACTCGCGGAGTTAATTGCGTCGACGTCGCATCGGCGCTGATCGAAAAACGCAACGGTGCGAAAATGTAGAACGAATTTGACGCGGAAAGCGTGGAATATCCGGGCTTTACGATGGTCCGCGGTCGAAACCCGTTGCCGCTCGAATTAATGCTCGGACTGTATTAACATTGCCCAAACATTTCCCGGTTCTTTCTAATTCAGCTCGCGATGCTTTAAACATTCGCGTTGCTCGCCAAAGGCGCAAATTAACCGCTGGCCGGAACGCTTCGTTTCCCGTCTTTGACGCGAAAAAGCATTCAAAGTTTTTCCAGCGATATTGAAACGAATAACGTCGACGCGACTGGTATTCGTCGAACGAGAATTAACGCAGAAAAGAAACTCGACGAGAAAGTTTTCTCGAGCAAAGTCGGCGGATACTCGCCATTACTTCACGGTACAAGAATTTCCTCGCGAAAACTCGGATTCAATGATCGGTTGATTCATTTCTTTTTTTTGTTACTTTCGCCTCTCGCGTACACGCGTAGCCATCGTCGGTGATACTTTACGAACGAATTCAGTGTGCGAGAGCTATTCTATGGTTCGATGTGGGCTGAATCGATTAGTACGTAATATTTCATAGAGGCGAAGGACAGGATCAGGTATAAAGCCGGCGCCAGTGTACCAGGGAAGCATCGAATTCTCCGGAACTGGCGAACAAAGCGTCCACGGTGCGGATAGAAGCATTGTAGGAGATAGTGTGCCGTCGAGATTTGCTTTTGCTGGACGTTTGCCTCGCCATTATAAATCAGGGCTTATTACCATGCTATTGTCGCGAGATGCGAGTTCAGTTTTCCGTGATAATTCGATACCGCCAATACGAAACAATAGCTTCCCTCGAATCTCGTCGATTCCTAAACCGTTCGCTCTTTTCTTCGGTAAAATAGATTTATTACCTATCGGTAATTAGTCGAAAGAACTTGAAAGAGAAGCAGACGGTTAAAGACAGCGAACTTAATTCGGAGTTACCGATGCGCGAATCCCTCTTTCGCCGATATATCGTGGCAAACTAACCGCAATCGACGAATTAAAAGTTTCGAAATCTCGTAAACGAGTTATCGCGGAATTTGAAGGCTTCGATGAAATCCAGTTTCCGTTAAAATGCTAGACGTTCGAAGAGCACGGAGAAGAGAGGGCAAACTCTGGAGAAGCTTCGAAAGCTCTTTGGCGAAATTTCGCTAAGCATCTCGTGCTTAACCTTAAGAGGGCACAAGTTCGAAATCTAAAGGATTCGAAGGTGTTTGACTGGCTGCACGGACTGGCGACTGTCGAGTTCGGATTTCAACGGATACCCTCTCGAAACTTACTCGACAAAGCTAACTTTGCGAAAGCTCGGTTTCGCGTTTTGCAAACGATCTCCGAGCACGTAATTTACTTCGATTAAGATGTCGTTGAACCGCGGTCTACTCGCGTCTTGCCGGCACAATGGACGATTTCTTCGCGAGTTTTTCACTCGCCCAGTATTTGCGGCGAAGAAAAGCTCGGTTTATAGCCGCTTACCGTAGTGTACGATGCCGGTTCACCGTGAACAAAAACGGCGGCACGCGAATAATTCGTTGTTAGCGTGGAACGTTGCATCGTATATACTCTAACGGAAGCTTTACGTTTTGGCACGTTAAGCTCTCGAGCGGCGATCGAAACGACGAGCTTCGGAACGCGTAAAAGCGCATACGGTACAAACTTGGACGATAACTTACGTTTCGAGCAACGCAACGACCGGTCGAAACGCCCGCTCCGGGCTCGTAAATTCCTGACTTCCCGCTTATTTAGAAAATTTAAGGAAAATCGCGTTCGATTCAGCGGCGACCAATTTTGTATCCTGTTGACGGAAGCTTTTCGATACTCGCTGTAATTTTCTTGGAGAAACAGGTTGTTCTTTCTTCTCCTTTGTCCCGAATTTTTTCGACGAATAAACTTTGTGCGCGCTTTTTCCCGTTTTGTCATGGGTTTGTTGACGACGCTTTCGGAGGCAGGAGCGCTTCTAACTGGTGAAAAATGAAGGAAGCAACGCGGTAAGAAACCGTAATTCGATACGGTGTGGAATTTCCAGTTAAGGATGATCGTAAAACCATTAAACTTTACTGTACGTATTTTCTGGTAAGCCCTCTGGGGGAAGTTTTGATATTAAACTAACCGTTGTAGGACGAAGTTTGTTCGAAACTCTCTCTAAATATTTTTAAATACCCAGAAGCTGTTTACCGTACTCGAGAGCCAGTGTCCGTAGGTTAAGCGGTCCTCCTCCACTTTGCTTTGCCTTCTTTTTTTAAACCTTCAACTTTAACAGCGTTTTCGAGTGTTCTTCTCTCCGAACCGTAGAAATTCCCCAACATGAAACTTGAAACGCGAGAGCGTCGTTATCGTGGACCGGAATTTATTAGCTTTTTCTCCGAAAGAGAATCTCCGGGTGTCAGAATCGAGTTATGACCGCGTATATCGGAAACGAGAAAACACCGCAGGTAATTAGAACGCGGCTAAATTAGTTATGCAACTACGACAACGACAGACGGTAAGTTGTACGTACATAAAAGCAAAGAGTTATTAGGTAGATGTTGCTGCATCTGGTTTGCTCGTTCGCTCGGGGTATCCTTGTAACTTCGCAAAAACGGTACAAAGGAAAGAAGTCTCGTCATGGAACTGTCTTCTTCTGCCGGTGAAAAATTGTTTGCGCGCGATATCGTCGTTCGAGAAAACCGATACTAACGTCGCTATTGATAAATATGTAGGTTACCTGCATGTTCTGGGTAATTCGCAATCTCGATGGTTTTGAATAATTTCCAAGCGATTCGATTGGTCACGGATAAAGACCGAAATAACAATAAAGCTCGCAACGGCACAGTATCGAGGATGTGCAAGGAAATGGAATAAAAGTCCGAATACGTTGTACGGCCGGCTCGATAATACTCTCGTAGATATCGTCGCAGTAAGCATTTTTCCTCGTATGAAAATCTCGCGTTTCGAAATATGTTCGAATATCGTCGGTTTTAAATCAAACGACGGTAGTTAAGGACCCTAATATCGGCAGTTATCGCGAACGGTTACGAACTTCCTAAAATCCAATATTGATATCGCTGGGTACAATAGAATAGAGATTCCCTGTCATTTTGTTTCTCTTCGAGTCTTGTTCGCGATCGATCGAAATTTGCGAGCGCGCAGACAGATCTCGGGAGAACCGATCGTTTTTCGGAACAAAGTTTGGTAATCGCGTATACTTTGGCGCTTGTAGTTAATGTCTCGATAGAACGATTCCGAGGGTCATAGAGAATACGCTTATCGCGATAAACGATGGAATTATCGGATAACGATCCTCCCGAATATCGATGGCCATTTCGAAATTCGAGCATAGGTTGGAAAGTGTCTGGCGTTGACGGGAACGTTGTTATCGATATAATCGATGATTTATATTTTCCGCGAGCGTATAATATATACCGCGAACGGTTAGTTTAGCCAATTTGAGCAAGAAAGCCGATTTAGCACGGCGACAGGGTCAGGGCTAATTCATAGCTGTCAGGAACAGTCGCAAACACGAAACTGGAAATGTGCGCTTTGAAATTACCATCGCTGGCTGAAACGACCTTATCCGCTTGAATTACTTACGCGAGAATACCGTCACCGCTACCGCAACGTCTGTCCTCGCAACTTTCTCGATGTTCCCCTCGCTTCGAAACAGCTAATTTTCTTCTTTGAGCAGACGCGCGGTTTAACCCCGTTGCCGATTCGAACTTAGAGACTAGTCGGTAACGAGTACGAACGTTAATCGACTTGCAGCGGCTCCGACCAATTAACACGACGCGAGAAAATATTCTGCTGCCTCTTAACGAGCATTTACACCCTTACGGAAAGGGTTAACTATCTATTCGCTCCACCGACACGGTTATCGGTAAATCAAACAATCCAGATAGTTGGTAGTTGCCAGGAAGCTCGTAACGCGTAGCGAACTAAGACTTCGGTGAATGAAGACGTAAACTCGGCTAACTATCGAATGGGTTAAATTGCTCGCGAGACGGAAATGATTTTCACGGGAAACTTGTCGGCGAGTGGCGCGGTTTATTAACCGAAAGTTTTCGAAGCAAGTTTCCTGGTCGCGAACTATAAACTCGCGGAACGTGACGTTTCAAACAACGAACGAACGAAAATACGTGGTACGACAAACGAAATTATCCGCGTGGCTATGCAAAAGTATCGAAGCTTATTCGAAGAGACGGAAGATACCGGAGGTGGAACGGTCTGGTCTTCGTCAGCGGATTTCTGCTCGCGCAGTTGTTAACGATAAGCCGTCCAACAAGAGTTTCGAACATTTGGTCCGTCGTTGGGCAAGTTCGATAGGAACCAATATCTTTCTCGCGATGACAAATGTCACTTGGTTCGTGTAGTTTCATTCCCTTCCACGTCCTAGAAGCTGGGGTCGCGTATCAAACTTCTCTATCTAAGTTCTGCCCGGTGCACTCGACGTCTTTCGCTCGGGTCTGTTCCGTTAGGAACCTGTCCTCGGTTTCGCTAAAATCACCTCGGCAAATAACCGTCTCGTTTTCTTCGCGGAAACTTCGCGGACAGGCTATGCGATTTAACCGGAACGACGAATTAAAAGTCGTTTAAAAAAAGAACCTTTGATTAGAAAAGTAAACTCGACGTTCGCGATTCAAAACCGTGCTCCGCTCGTTAACGCGCAAACGGCGCGGTTCTTTCGTTTCGGTCGACTTTATGGAGAGTCGTTCTCTGAATGGAATCGCGCTCGTTTCTTCGTAGCAGAGATAACGCGACGAGTTAACGCGACAAACGTTTGCATCGAAGTTAAGCGTTCAAAGGTGCAACTCAGATTTAGGTAAATCCGTCAAAATCCGATCGATCTCGATCGAGAGTTAAATTCGTTCGTCGTAGAAACAACCGCAAACCGCATCGAACCAACTAATAGTTTCTCAAATGTTCCGTTTCGATTCTCCGTCTGTCCGTACCCTATGCTCTATACAAATGAATTTCTCTCGTGGCTGCAAGCTATTTTACCGTACCACGGATTACGCGTCAGGATCTCCTGTTGCGTTTTCCATTAACGTGTCTGTTCAAAGCAAAACAAGCGTAAAAGGGAAGCTGTAAATTTCGTTTTGTCGTAATTACGTAAAAAGCTTATCTACGTATTTTATATTTGTAGAAACGAATAACGACGCTCTGCGATCACGGAATCTCGGAACGGTAATGAAACAAATAAACGGAGCGTTCGATCGTATCGTATAGTATTATATCATTTTACTCATTGGCAAGCGATATCGGATAACTCGATGATTTTAATAAAAATTGCTAGTTCTTTTTCGTTAAACACCGGCACACAATTCGATCCGGTTTTTATTGCGTTTTAAAATAAATTTTGGTCGAACCGTTTTGTATCGTATCGCTCCACGATATTCGTTGTATAATAAAAATTTAATTTTAACGCCGCGAGTTATAGAAAATTGGCACGGCGTGTCCTCCGCGTCGATACGATTCGATTAACGTCTCCGTTGCTTTTTTTCGTTGCAGGCATCAATTTTATTTACACTCTCGATTAGAGCTGGTCGAGGGTAGGTTGAAAGTGTCGGATTGGGCGTCGGTGGCGCGTCTGATCGCTTTGATAGCGCAAGCAGATGCCGGTGATTACGACGCGATGTCGCCACCCCATGCGCTCTATTCCCAATGCTGTCAGATACAACCGGCGGAACCGTGCGAACCGAAACCTCAGGATTTCCTGCACCGGATAGTTCAGCAACACAAAGAAATCAAGGTTCGATTAACTTTCTTTTCCTCTCTTCTCTCGTTCTGCTCCTCTCCTAAACGTGCACCTTTAAAATTTGTGTTCAGGGTATGAAACCATCCACTGCCGAGTACTGGCTGTTGAAGGAGATCTCGAATCTGGACACTTTTGGCCAGGAAATGTTTCACAGTAAATTCGGATACAACGGAGTGTCGATGATCGGCGTTGGACCACACGGTATCACGGTGTATCGCAGCAACGACGAGGAAACGCAAAAGTACGTATAACGATCGTGTCGCGGCAAAATATTTGAGTCGTCGAAAGAGCGTTCTACAATTTTGTCTATCTTCTGTTTTTCAGCATACCGTACACAGCGATACAAAGCGCGACGTCTCAACGGAGAATGTTTCATTTAGTTTACCTGTCGCTCGACGGTGAAGAGACCTCGTTGAACTTTAAATTAGATTCCAGCCAATCCGCGAGTGGACTTTATAGAGCGATTACCGAGAAACACGCGTTTTACAGCTGCGAGACGGTCAGAAGCGCGGTAACCGCTCAGTTCATTCGAGACTTGAAGGTATCGTCTACTTAACCGTATCGCGGGTCCGAAAAACGCGAGAACGTCTTCTGAACCCAGCTGTTTCTTCACAGGGTACCATAATCTCGATTTTCAACGAGGACTCGACGTTAGGAAAGAAATACGTGTTCGATATCCGTAGGACCTGTCGAGAAGTGTACGACAACGCTCGACGGGCCTTGTACTGCGAAGCTACGACCGTGAACCTACCGGAGGAGAACGAAATGTTGGAAAAGCAGGACTGCGGGGACTGCGAGGATCCCAAGTGCAAGGTACTTCGACTAACTCGTATCCCGTACAGCGCTTACCGTTCCTATGAAACTATAACTCTGTTTGGCCCGAGTAAACCGAACGCGCGATGTGTGCACTTCCTCGGTATCGCGTATAAATATCTATCAATATTCAACTTTCGTCGCCGTAAACTTTGTATAGTTATCTTATCGTCGAATGTTCGCTTTTAATTCACTAAATTGTTGGCAATCTCCGTAACGCTCGTGTTCGTCGTTTCGTAATTTTTCAACGTGATCATTAACGAACGTTTCGCTCGTACCGCTCCCTATATAGTGCTCCATTAGCAGAGCTGTCGGAAAAGTACAGTGTCGTTTTTCATTTTGTCGCAACAGAATGAAAGATCGGTATACGCTTACATTCTGATGCTGTCTCAGTTGCTTTGGAGCGCACGATAAACAACAAAAGCGGGTAATACGACTGTTGCTTTTGATTTGTGTCGCGTCCAAATGGATGACACCTGCCGTTACTACGAGTTTATTCATGCTGGGGCAGCCGATGGGGATAACAGCGCGACGCAACGATATCGGATTTACTACCGACAGAGTCAACGTTTCTGCGCGGCGACACGCTGTAAAAGCATTACACTGGACAGACGCGCGAAAGCAATCGCTTAAGATCGTTTAATTTGCAGGAATCCCGGGAATGTCTGGCGAGATTATTGGACGCGATGCTCTGTCGCATTTGCATGGATCGTAGCTTAGACACCGCCTTGTTCCCGTGCGGACACGCGGTGGCTTGCTTGGATTGCGCCAGACGTTGCGAACGTTGTCCACTTTGTCGAGCCGATATCGACCATTGTCGGACGATATATCTTCCCATCGAGCTGACGCATGTCGACAAGCACAGCCCAAAATTGCTCTCCGAGTCCATTGAGCCGGTCTATGGAAGCGCGTCCACCGAAGAGATTCAGAAGAGAGCTTTAGGAAACGAGAACACGGTAAACGGCAACGATATTTGAGAGTGCCATCGCGGAAGAAGATTCAACGTGGCTCGAAGATTCCTTGGGATCTTTGCCTGTCGAACGGAAAAGACGCATTGACGTCGTTCGTCGAATCGAGCTTCGATCGCCTCTTCGAGATTTCGTAATTTTTATTTTTTCTCGTTATTTCACTCTTAACGTGAACTTCGAATTACCTTCTTAACCGAGAAAACCTAATTTCTTTATCGAACGTTAAATAAAAATTATTTTCTACCGTTTTTTTTTTTATACTTTATAAATTTGGTTCAAAGAACAAAGAACGTAATTTGCCAGAACACCGTGACATTTTATCTTTAAGAACAAGCAATGAGATTGTTTCCTTTCGTGTTTTAACGCGTTGACTGCCACGACGGTGTGTCGCTAAAACGAAGTTGTTTTTAGCGTCGATGTTATCGTATACTGTAACGAACATGACTGTTTCTACCGGGGCATTCAACTCGTTAAGCTTGATTCGATTCTTAATGTTTCGAATGATTCATTGGTACTGTGATCAGAAAAAAAGCAACGCGAGTTCGTAACTTTAACGAAATTACTATCGTTTTAAAAAACTTATCTTACCTGTTTATACGCGATGTTGCGATGTTATTATGAATGTTGTCGATATTTCACCATTCAATAATTAACGATGTTGTAACGTCTTAATTGAGCGACCGAAAAGTGCTATTAGCAGCATTGATCTCTGATAAACAGTGCTGCCGTTATTTTCAACGGAGTATAGTATAATTTGTATCGATGCAAAATTGAATTACGTCGTGCAAAGAGAGTTTTTATTTTGATCGGCAACTGGACGCATAAGTTATGTTTCTCTTCTTTCTTTATTCTCTTTTTTTCTTGTTTAATCGTTGTTTACAACACTTCTCGATACCTTTGTTCCTCTTAGATAGATTATACATATATTTTTTTCTCTTCTTCCTCGTACGTGTATCGACTTTCGTTCAGATATCGTGGTGCCGGGGTCACCGTGGTGAAGAGTTTTATTAAAACCAGTGACCCTTCATATTTTTAATATAGTACATACGTTACTTATTATGCGTACGCGGTATCGTTTACAAAATGACTGGTATAACGTTCCTTCTTGTACAGGATGTTTCGTTTAAGGATAAGGCGGATCTCGAACGGCGTTACCGGTTAATCGATCGTTCGTGGAACGTTCGGTTCATCGAGTCGCGCGATAGTTACTACGATTTCGTTCGCGCTGACTCGTGGTGAGCCGAAAGAGCCATCGTTGGATTCGATTAACGATTAAGTAATAACATTGTTTCTTATTTTGAAACATCTTGTAGAAGACGGAAAATCTTGTTACAGTAATATCTGTTTATATGTACATAAGAGGCGATGATAACCCTCTGTAGGAGGGTCAAGCGAGTAAAAGTCATAAGTTCACCAAATGTCAAATCTGATTTAACCAACTCAATGCGAATGCTATCTTTTTAAATAAGTCATAATAAAAAAAGAATATATGTTAATTGATGCGCTTTGCACACACACGCATACGTACACACATAATGAAGATAATTTACGTGGCGATATTTCCTTTGTGTAGGAGCGCGAAAGAAGGCTGTTTCTGAATCAAAAAGAAAAAAGAAGAAAGAAAAGAAAGAATAGAATGTAAATGCTTTATCGAAGCGTGCGAATTTTTATGTATTATTTATATTTTTCTCGCGAGAGAAACGTATCGTTCTTCCTGTAATTTTTTTTTCTATCCTGGATCGAGCACGCTTTAATCGTTACCATCGTTGAAAGATAGCATCGAACTAACTGAAACACTTATCGGTAGCATTTTACGAAGTCTTGCATGCGTATCGACAGGGAGACTGTCATGAGAGGGAGAATGAGAGACAAAGAAATCGTTATAGTCATTCATCAATGCAAAGCAGATCTAGTATGTACTTATTTATAAGGATAATGATAATAGTGTTTATAATACGTGCTACTGCGTTTAATGACGATTATTGTCAACTTTGTCGTTAAGTCAACGGTAGCGTAATCCCTTTTTTCCTGGCGTTCCTCGACGCTTCACGCTCCTGGTCTCTATTCTTTAGTTTCTTCTATTAGTATTTTTGTATTTCATCGTGAAGAAAATCGTGATTACGCTGCTTCTCCAAGTCAGATATCGATTCTTTAGATACGAACGCGATTATAAATATACGTACGACAATGTTAACTTCGTAGTTTGGAATATTGCATATCGGTGCAATAACGCGTCGTCGTGTTTCACGATATCGAAAATATACATATTTTCTCCAGAATTTTCTAATACCGGTATCGATCGATATGCTTTTATGCGTTAGAAGTTCGTTTCAAAAATCAAACGTTATCGGAAAAGAGAAAAACTGTTTTGTAAATTATAGCCGTATGTGGTCTTCGGGGAGAAAAAAAACTGAACGAATTTTTACCACCGCTATACGTTTACTCAAATATATATATATATATAAGAATAATATAATAACGACAACAATAACACTGTTATAGTAAAAAGCAACAAATTTTTGTGATTAAATCTCTGTATAAATGCGTACACTAAGAAATTCGAAATCATTATAATTGGTAGATGTGTATAGTAGAAATGGAAGATATCGGAGAGAATGGATTTTTAAGAATTATCATTTGCAAAGAGTATTTTTAAAGTATTTTTAATTATTTTTTAGTATTATATCAGGATTCCACTTAAACGGTGGTATATATACATATGAGACCGACACAATCTACAAAAAATAATTTTTAGCATTATAAAGGTACAATGTCCCAACCTGTTGATTAAATACTATGAAACATTTATCGTTGTTCGCCTTTTATTCTCGTTTCTTCCGCACCTACCTCCCTAATTTAATTCAACTTCTCTTTGGTAAAATAATCAGCACGTGTCGTATCACGAGCAATTTAAACTTATCGACGCCTTGCATACAATTTGAGACAGAGGACGGTTTTAAAATACTGATAATAAAATTACTAAGCATTGTAATTATACGTTCCAAAGGATTATGTTTGTTTTCGAATCATTAACGGAGATATCAATTAGAACGATTATCGAGTTTGTATATCGCTTAGACTGGTGTTTCATAAAGCAAACATGCAAAAAACGTTATGTAAGAATAATAAAATTAATGCGTAGGTGTAACTAAAAAAATTTCAAATCTAGCGCCAAATTGATCTTAGCGGCAGTTCGGTTAAAAACTGTTGCTTCTGCGCATGCGTCCTACGTTCTGATTGGTTGACGCAGCGGCATTGTCATATGACGAAGCTGCGTGGCATCATGGGAAGCAGATCGCAATTTTGCAACATGGCGGTGAATTGAGCCAAAGTCGCGGTGCTGTGCCATCAGAAAATGTATTTTTCATAGTTGTGCAACCTCTTTTATTATACTTTTCATGTATGCGACAGTGTAATACGGATTCGGGGCGTGTTAGACGGTACACGGTGCATGTAAATATGAGTGTAATGAAGCGTAACATTATTTCGAAGGTGACACCCCGTAACTCGGTGTGGTGTTCGAGCACGTATGGCAGAGACTAGAATCTGAGATAAGGAAGCTCTGCTTCGCTTAAGTAATACGTACCGCCGATTAAAATTACCACCACAAAGTAGCGATGTGGTGGTTACCTCTCCCGAACTGTGAAAACGTGAGTGTTCCTTGTAAAATATATAAAGTGTGCATACTAAAGTGTCGTGGGTGCGTATTTCGGTAGCAAGAGTGTACGTTTGCCTTGTCTGTGATCTTCGGTACCCCTTTCATGCATTTCTTCTAACGATTTTATCGTCAAAGTTTCATTAACTTTATCGTAAATTGTTTCACTCGTAAACAATCGCATTAAACTTAAATCGAACGATGAAAACTTCGATATACAAATCAGTTCCACCGTAGGTGCCACCATTGCGTTACATATTTTTCACCGACTTAAATTTTTCTTCGTTTTCGTTGAGAAGAGTCGAAAAAATTTCATAAAATTAACACTGTTTCCTCATTCTTACGATATCGTGTCTTCTCGTTATCGAAAAATGTGTACTCCGATCGATTTGGCCGAAAGTGCTTACCTTTGTGCTTGGCTCATATTTCTTCCTTACCTGTGTGCTTAAATCGTATTCTATACGAAATTATTTTATACTTGGCCGGATATATCGAGATCTTTTACGAATCCTTCTATTACCGATATCCGAGAATGTATTTTATGGTCGGTGTCGGTAAACGTCGATGTAGCAACACTCCAAAAATACCACATGTTACAGTATTCTAAAAGCATCACACGTTGCAATCTTTCACTAACGATAAGAGTTTATGACGATCGACGATATATCATGGTTATTGTTCGAAATAAACATTTTGTAAAATGCTACTAATAACAGTTTTGGTTGTTTAATCAAAGTGTTGAATCAAAAACATATACAATATATGGAAAGTCTCCTATCTCATATATTTTACATTTAATTGTTTATATTTATATACATTCATCCGTGTCTTCACGAATAAATAAAATTGTATCTTGTATAGATATTTTGTTAAGTTAAATATATTTTCATCGAATGTAATCAGGGTTGAAAGCATAAGAGCTATTAAAGCAGATGTTTATTTATGTAAAAATCTGTTAATGTATCCAGTTATCGATAAATGTTGTCCAATTAAACAAATCTGTTCTGTCACATCAAATAATTCTTTTCCTGTATTGAATAAAGAATGAGGTCACAGCTGCACCCAAATAAACTCATTTGCATACAATAAGGTTTCCTATATACTTTGAAATAATATTCCAAATGTCTTTTTATGTTTAATGCCTTTTATTTATAATAATGGTTATTATGGCAAATCAAATCAAACAGCTTATATCTAATATAAGTGTTTTTATATTTCCAGATATGTGCAAAATTCAAAAACTTTGTCATTCACTGTAAATTGTGATCGTATATGAGTGCCAAACAGAAATATATAAAAGGGCATTGAACAGATCCAATGGTTTCCTGACATGATGGAAAATAAATTATACGTGAAAAATGAGCCGGGACTCGATGGGCAATCGCTTGCAAATCCACAACCAAACCCACCCTCCGAAGATATCGGGGGTGCTAGGGTTTGTTTCGTTTGTGGTACAGTGGGCCATGGGGAGCAATACTGGCTCAGAGTAAAACCAAGTCCAGGTGGTGCACCAAACGAACCTTATTTTCCATTTCTTGAATCGCATGAGCCACCTGCTGGTTATCGTGGCGAAGGAGCCAGAAGCGGAGCAGTGAAGGCATGCAGCCTTTGTTATGCTCTGCTGTTACAACAATGGGAAAGTTACGAACAAGATGCTAGACCTCATAGTCAACGAATTTACTGGCTGAAAAGATGCGACGGTGGTCCTTTCACGGGAGCTGAGATGGCCCTTCAAGGAGAATACGCGGCGCAAGTTCTGGGATTAACCAATGATCAGACACCGCAAATTAGACCAGAAAATCGACCAGTTGGAATTTCTCCACGACTCCCACCAAATTCACCATCGCCTAGAGTGGAACAAACAAGACCACCGTCAAATTCCATTGAGCTGCCAAGACCACATTCTAATACAGCAGAGACGCACAGACATTTGGAACAAGCAAGGCTTACAATGGAATCCCCCCATCAAAGACTGCAATCGCCGCATCAGAGGTTACAAAGTCCTAGACAGCCTGTAGAAGATGCAAGAATATCTAATGAAGCGGCATTGGATTTAAGACACGCACCTAGAAGTTCACCTGCCCCTCAACCAACTTTACTGCCACAATCTCAACGTAAGTTTACATATAAATTTAAGACAGTGACCGGTGTATGTTATTATTGGTACTTGTTTCATTCCATTAAATAATTTGTAAATAAACGTTAGTATTACCTTGCGTAATATAATAAAAACTTGATTAATTTGACTTCTGATCTCAACCTTTGTGCGTCTTAAAAAACTGCATTTAAATGGCGTTTAAAGTAAACCAATGCAGGATAAAAAGTGTGAAGTAAAAGTAGGCCACGTGTGTGACGATAATAGTTATATAGAAGCGCATAAAATTTGTACGAAATAAAGCAAGAACGAAGTGTTAACGTTTTTTATCGATTTGTATGTTAATTATTAATAAATGCTAATTCGTAACGGTTTCGTACGACCAATTACAGCCATTTATAGCGGCGGATCCTCGTCAAGCGTCGGTACCGATATCTTGGATCTTTCGATGCCAGACAAAAATTCAGTTACGGAAGTCTGTTATGTGTGCGGGGATGAATTCAAAAGAGGGTCACTTAGTCATATTGCAGCAAAACCACTGCCAACTCCGCCACATCCTTCTGCCAGTCCCCCGCCATTTTTTCCATCGTTAATGCTTCATCCACGACCAAGTAGAAGTCGACCTATGGACAGTGCTGGTCGTGTACAGGTATTTTTTGTTTTTCTCGATATTTAAATCGTATAAAAGTTGCATCGTGACTTGTTTATTTCAGTTCTTGTAACACGTAACACGGATTCTTCTCGTTTCAGGCTTGTTCAGCGTGTCAGAATCATCTTTTGTTACAATGGAAGGCTTATACGCGACAAGGAGTACCGCACGGTGAACGAAACTACACGCTGCGTAAACGACAAGCACCCGCAATGGATACAACTACTTTCATCTGTTACACTTGCGCGCTCGAGTACCCTTCGTCTAGTATTAGACTTCTTTATTGTTGTCCTAATCCAGAGAAGGAGGCGTACTATCCTTTTATTTATTCTCTAAGACCTCCGCCAGGAGCTAGTCCGATTAGTCCTCAGGGAATGGTGCAGGTTTGCTCCATTTGTTACAAAGCTATACCACAGAAACAACAAGTATTTGGTGGAGAAAATCACGAAGCCCAACCCTCGGGACAAGGCGTCGATTTTCGACAACAAGGTCCGTCTCCACGGCCCGCGGTAGCCAAGTCTCCGGCTAATTCCGCGGGTAGCGATATTCGTTTCAAACCGTACGATTTGAACAAATCGACGGTCGCTACGAACAAGCAACGTAGCGCTACGGTAAAAGGATCGGCTCCTGGTCAACGAAATTCTCCTAACAATGGTCCAGCAGAGAATGGAACCGTTGCTCTTGGTCAAAACTATAGGTGCTATATTTGTGAGAGATTATATCCCCGTAACCATATGGAATGGTACGTGTTTTGAACGATCATAAATTTCTGTTAATGCACGCAATAATCTTCGGTATATTAATCGTTATGTTTGTCCGTCGTTAAAAGGTTGTCCACGAGTCCGGAAGGAATGAATTCGCACGCTATGCACTTCCCGTGTTTAAGGGGAATGGCACGAACTTCTGAAAACGCTTGTATGGATAGCCATGGCAGAGTGTTGGCTTGTACACACTGTGTGAATCATCTTGCCCAACAATGGGAAAGCATGGATGCTGAACGAGTTCCTTTAGAACGTCGCAGGTTAGTTCTTATTTCAATACATCATTCGTTTACGTTATCGATGTACTCTTTACAAGTTTTCCGAATCTTCTCCAGGTATGATATTCCTAGTCCACATCCAAATGGCGACGTGAATCGATCGATCGCCACCCCACCGAGTTCTAGTTCAGATCGAACGTTTGGTAGTAATCCAGGCACATCGAGCAGTTCCATATATTGTTTCCTATGTGGCTTGCATAGTGATTTAACTCTTGCAAGAGTGTTGTACGGTCGCCCTCAGGGTCGCAACGCACCGTTTTTCCCTGAACTGTTGCGTCATCAGTCTCCGCCGAACGCCGAACAACTCAGAGAGGATGGTTCTGCGCTAGTATGCACGTTCTGTTACCATTCTCTTTTGGCGCAATGGCGTCGATACGAATCTCTTCCTAGTGGTCAACAAGTGAACGCCGCGGAAAGGCAGTACAATACGCACGATTACTGTTGTTACGTTTGTGGCATTATGACGTATAGGAAACGAGTCAGAGCGTTGCTCGTGAAAGATTTTCCCTTCCTGAGGTATCACAGACAACCAGAGAAGAGTCTGTTGTTGGAGAACGGGGACTTTGCGGTGGTCTGTTTAGACTGTTACGAAACATTGCGTACTCAAAGTCTCGAGTACGAACGATGGGGCTTACCCGTTGAAAAACGCGAATATAATTGGATAGTACAACCACCGCCACCGGAAGACAGTCCAGACGCGGCTATCGCGAGATTGCCGTCCGGTGAACGATCCGAGAAGGTGGTGAGTTACTTTTCGGACGTTAATTAAGAATCTTGCGACGTTGGATAAACAAGTTCATAACACGCATCGAATGTTTGCGTATGTTTTTCAGGTTCCCTCGACATTAACCGTTAGGCCAGCGCGGAAAAACTGTTCTCCTAAGGCGCCGGACAAAAAGGTCCCAGCAAAAGTTTCCGAAAAAGAACAAGGTAAGAGATAAGTTTCCTTATTCATCTTTCAAACGTATCTGTTTTCCCATTTAATGGAATCGATCGGCAAAGGATTATTATCAGACGCGCCGAGGTTATCGGTCAGTGTGCTTTGACGTTATCGCACGCTTAAGTATTCGTTTCTGCAAAGATGCTCGGATCGTATGTGTCGGTTGTTGCGCCACAGTTTTTTGCTTCAGTCATTAGATTCCAAATTTTAACGAAACAGATCCGCGATACGGTTCTTTCTGTGGCAAAGCGTTTAAACGACCGACAAATATTCTCGGTTTTATGTGGCACAAACTGAAGGTATAACGGATAGGAGATAGACGGAACGTGTACGTGTATGTACGTTCTCGGCAAAGATATACGATATACCGGTGACACCGGGACGGTAAAAGGGATCGAGACACAGGGGGTGAGTGGATCAGACGCGAGTGGAGCTCTTAAAAATCCAACAGACAAAAGGATACTGACGGTCGAGAACCATCCAAAAGAAGGGCCTGATGGTTTTCGTTTGAGCGAATTCGCTTCTGCCATTGTCTTTTTTTCTGTCTTTTTCATTTCCTTTTCTCGGGGATAACATATCTCCTTTGAGAGCAATTCGAAAATAGTGTTCAACGTGTTCGCAACCGTGTTTTTAAGAAAAGTCTTGCCATATACCGTTAATTGCGGTGGTCTGTTTAGACTGTTACGAAACATTGCGTACTCAAAGTCTCGAGTACGAACGATGGGGCTTACCCGTTGAAAAACGCGAATATAATTGGATAGTACAACCACCGCCACCGGAAGACAGTCCAGACGCGGCTATCGCGAGATTGCCGTCCGGTGAACGATCCGAGAAGGTGGTGAGTTACTTTTCGGACGTTAATTAAGAATCTTGCGACGTTGGATAAACAAGTTCATAACACGCATCGAATGTTTGCGTATGTTTTTCAGGTTCCCTCGACATTAACCGTTAGGCCAGCGCGGAAAAACTGTTCTCCTAAGGCGCCGGACAAAAAGGTCCCAGCAAAAGTTTCCGAAAAAGAACAAGGTAAGAGATAAGTTTCCTTATTCATCTTTCAAACGTATCTGTTTTCCCATTTAATGGAATCGATCGGCAAAGGATTATTATCAGACGCGCCGAGGTTATCGGTCAGTGTGCTTTGACGTTATCGCACGCTTAAGTATTCGTTTCTGCAAAGATGCTCGGATCGTATGTGTCGGTTGTTGCGCCACAGTTTTTTGCTTCAGTCATTAGATTCCAAATTTTAACGAAACAGATCCGCGATACGGTTCTTTCTGTGGCAAAGCGTTTAAACGACCGACAAATATTCTCGGTTTTATGTGGCACAAACTGAAGGTATAACGGATAGGAGATAGACGGAACGTGTACGTGTATGTACGTTCTCGGCAAAGATATACGATATACCGGTGACACCGGGACGGTAAAAGGGATCGAGACACAGGGGGTGAGTGGATCAGACGCGAGTGGAGCTCTTAAAAATCCAACAGACAAAAGGATACTGACGGTCGAGAACCATCCAAAAGAAGGGCCTGATGGTTTTCGTTTGAGCGAATTCGCTTCTGCCATTGTCTTTTTTTCTGTCTTTTTCATTTCCTTTTCTCGGGGATAACATATCTCCTTTGAGAGCAATTCGAAAATAGTGTTCAACGTGTTCGCAACCGTGTTTTTAAGAAAAGTCTTGCCATATACCGTTAATTGTAAGACGTCATTGTTAACCGCGCGAAAAGAATAATCTAAAGGAGTTTCAGTGAATTTGCCATACAAGTTGAATAATTTTATCGTTTAAACGCTTTGTAACCTGTACATGTTTTCAAGGAAACAAAATCCCGCCCAGGCAGAGTACTTTTCAGCTTGCCTGACGTTAAAACGCCTTCCCCTTTTTTTTCTGTTTATTGTTCCGGCTAGACAGCCGTCTAGTACGTGCTCGCGTACGAAAAGGTAAGTTTCTTCGGGTTTACGTCGGCAATCGTGCAACGCCAGTGCGCAGGCCTACCATTTAGAAGTCGTAAACTCGTACTTCGACGATAGTGGTCGAGAAATTTTTGTTTCCGCTTTGAACGTTTAAGAAATGATGGCAACGACGCGGTAATTTCATAACTACGTCTATAAACCATTAACATTTTCCAACGTAAATTTCTCGGCGAATACGCGGTGAAAATAGTCGTGTACAAAACCCGGCAGAATAATAAAATTTGCTTTCTTTCGCTGTTAGACTGCTAGCTAAAATTATTAGATTATATTACCGTTAGGCCGTATTTTCGCGTTTAACAAGATAGAATCCGAGGAACGAAAATTTTCATCGATCGCACGCATCAGTCGACTATAAGTAATTTCCTGCCAAGTACGCATCGCAAGGTAAATCCTGTAGTTTAATACGTCGAACTTGTTGGTACAAGTTGTACACGGTCGAGTTTCGAGATACCAGGAGCGTTTCTCTCGAGGCGTTCATCGTTCGTTTTCGCATAGCGCAAAGTCTGTTTTCTCGAGATTGCGTTCAGCATCGGGTTTCTCAAAGCGAACGAGGACACAGCCTCTTCTATTATAAGAGAATTATGTTCCACGTTTCGCGTATCGGTTTCTTTAACGCGTTTCCTGTCATGCGAAACGATGCCTCACAATGAGTTCAAACGATATAATACAGTTATTAACTCCAAGGAAATTAATCGGAGAATATTGTCCACGTCACGATTCTAGAAAGCATACATCGTAAAAATTTCTTTGGTCTGTAATCGTGATACTGTGAAAAATGATCACCGTTCGTGTGCATTTACGCGAGCGTGACTAAAGTTAGTAAGGAATAAACATAATTGCGAACAAATGTCCGCAACGATCGACGGCAATTTCTAACGTTTCGCATTACGGTCCGAGAGGATTAGTTGTATAAATAATGAATTTTACGTTGGGAAATTTGAAGAAATGAAACGTTTCGAAGAGAAATCGAGGCAACGGCGAACGAAATAGCCGAACACGGACTAATGATGGCATAGATTTCGAGGTTCGAAGGTGTACGCTCGAGAGGAAATGGCGTTTACACGGAACACGATCGTCGAGATCAGCAGGTCGATTAAGGTCGGTCGATCTGGCTTAGAGCAAGTAGGTGGTTCGAGGCGTTGGAAGGACTTAACGCAGGGCTTTAGTAGACGAGGTAGTAGCGTGCTCGTTCATAGCGAAAAGGGGGTAAAGCGAAGGAGAGCGAAATCGGGGGTAGGAAGGGTGCAATGGAGAAATAGAAGGTGGAGAAGGCGAAGGAGGAGGAGGGGTTAGAGGAGAAAGAGCAAACGCCCGCAGCGTGACACCGCATTGCGCCCACTTGCCAACCCGCCCAACACCTAAATTCGAATTAGGGAACCAGTCCTGTCGTTTCTCGTCAACACGATTCTCTTGTCCCGGTAAACGTGCAGGCAGGACATCATCGTATCCTTATACCTATATACCTATACATATACGATGTACGCTCGCAACATACGAGTACATAGCTGTTATCGTTCGAAGGCGCTCGCCTTTTAAGGGTATCGCAACAGCGGTCGTTTACCGTTCGATCTTTAATTTATCGATGGAGGTTCTAAATCCTTCTATTTATACTTTCATAAAATTACTCTAAGGCGCAACTCGTTTTTCCGGAGATTTGACACGGGCGATTGGGAAAACGGGAAAATATAAACGCGGGCAAATATTTTTGAACGGCAGTGTATGTAGGTGGTTAACTTCTATCCTTTGCGCGACCCTCCTTTGCTCTCCCGTCGGGAGAGCAATCAGAGGGAGAGAGAGCTCGTTTTCCTCTTCCTTCGGTGATCGATATCAACGTTATCGACTGCTTTTCTCGCTCTCTTGTCGTTCGGAGTTGCTCACGTATTCTCGGCAGGCGCGCAGTCAAAGGCTCGATTTCCACCTTTCTTTTCCGTCTCGAAATCGGTGCCGGTTCTCGGTCGGCACGATTTCGTCTTGCATGCCTTTCTTAGCGAAAAGGAAATCCATTAACATCTTTCTCGGCGAAAATCAATGATCGCGAAAAAGCTGGAAACTGGAGGATCCGACAAAGTCCCGTTTGTCCGGGATAATCACGGTGATATTTACATTTTGATAGTTGGTAGGTGAATAGCATGCGGCACGTAGCCGCGCGTTTTAGTCTCGTACGCGCGGCTTCTCTTAATGCGGTCCTCGCGGTCCCTCTGTTGGCTCGCGTGAATAATTAACCAACGACTGGCGTGTAGAGTAGCTTTTGCCAGCACTCGTGGCCACCTCCACGGCTCGTTTCGTTTCAAGTAACATTCTAGTTACGCTCTCTCTTCTGCTTACCGATGCGGCTAACGCAAAGCTCGTTCTCCGTCCTTTTCGGGCCGCTCTTTTCACCACCGTAACGTTCGACTTCTTTTGAGCGTCGCTTTTAGACGATGAAACGGTGGTTTCATCTTTGAAACGTTTTCATCTTACCTGTGTTTTCTCCCGGCCAAAGGAATACTAATAAAATAATTTAACGGCTTCGTTTGTACCGATGTCAGGGGGTCAAACGATTCGTTCGCGCGCCAAAAGGAGCTTCGCGACTGCGCCATTCTTTATTCGCGATCCTTTTGCGCGCAGCTCTAATTACTCCCGAAAAGTCGAAAGACTTCTTTATACCGTAACGAACATAACGCTTGAGCGATTTATCTTGGATCGTTGAATGATATCGTAACATCGATCCGTTCGAAGTGGATCGATCTTAACGGCGGAATCGACGTCGTTGGACCGTGTTAAAAATAATATGGCTTATTAGCCGCCGAGGGGTTTGCCGTGTGCCTTTGGGGATAGCGATGGTACGCGAACGCGAGCGTGGTAGTTTGGCGCGCGAGGATAAAGGGTGAAGGGCGAAGGGCGAAGGTGGCGAGGGTGAGCACGGCAGGCCGCGTTTGTACGTCGGAGATTCACGCAGCGGGGAACGAACGAAAGACAGAAAGAGAACTAGAGAGAAAGGCCGAAAGAGGAGAGAACGGGCGAGAGAAGAGGGTTGGTCACGGCACAGGAGTAAGTAGAAAGAGATAAAGCATGAGAGGGCAGGAGCGCAGAAAGGGAAGAAGAAGGACGACGAGAGGGGGTGGAAGTTCCCTGTCGCCGGCACGCATTGATTTTGCTCGACAGACAGCCGCCTGTTGGGTTCTCTGACTCCAGATCCTAACCGTTCACTGTTCACTGCTTTCTTTCCGTCTTTCTCTCGCCCTTTCTTCTTCTCTCTTTTTTCGTCTTTCCTCTCGTCGCTTCGCTAGACATCTTCCTTTTCCACCAGAAATCTTCCGTAATCGCGCGATTGAACGTCGCGGCGACTTTCGTCTCGTCACGAATCAAGCGAGCAGAATTTGATTCTCGCGCGTGCAGATACTTGTTGCTGCCGAAATGAAAATATTGATTCGTATATGGAATGTCGAAAAGGGTTTAGGTGAAACTCGGGGGATACGTCGTGTGCGTTAAAACGGATAAGATCTTTACGAGCGCGAGTTGCATCCGCATTTACGAAGACCTTGCTCGTTCGTTTCCAAAATTTGGATCTAATCGTTTTCCCGTGCAAAGAATACGCTTGTCGGTTATTGGGTCGACGATAAACTTTAATAGCCGTATCAATTGATTGAGTCGGCATTTCGATATCCACAGTCCCTCTCTTCGTACTTGCTTCCTCCTGATTGCTCCCGCTGGTTGGCCCCCGTGTTTCGTGCCACGTTGAGAGGGGAGATTAATTACGCGTCGAATACGAAATGTCGTCGGACGCGGTGGAAACAGGCGGAGGGATGGATGCATCGCGATACCGTTGGCCCGTATAACGTATCGCCAAGTTAATTATTCGCTAGCCAGCGTTAAGCCGTTTTAAATTTTAGCCTTGGCCGTAATTGTCGGTATCGGTACCATCCGTCGCGGTAACGAACGCGGTTAACGAACAACATACCATTGTAAATGCTCTAAACTCGCTTTTACGTAACTACGATCGGTGTTTTACGAGCTGAACGATTTCCCAAAGGATCAACGAAACACCGCGAGTATTAAACGAACAGCGACAAAGTCGAATCGTGTTCGAATCTTTTCTATTCTTTTTTACGTCGCTGCATCTTTGATCTCGTTATTTAGCCTCGAAACGGAACTGGCTCGAAGGAAGATTTCAGCGACGAAATCGTTCGATTCCGCGAAAAAAATTGGAAGAAATACAACGCCACGTTCGAAGTGACCTCGGTGCACGCTTTATCGGCGAGACAGCGATAACGGCGATAGTAAAAGCTCGCGACTGTTGCGGCGTACGTGTGACGGTACAGCCAAACCACGCATCGAAGCGACGTGCCGCGGCGCGGTGGAATTATTTACAAAGTCGACGTATCTACGACGTTCTTCCGCGCCGCGCCACGGCCACTTCCGTTTATCATCCCCTTGTTCGCACCTCCCGCGTTTACAAAGTTCCGCTCGTCTAACGCGAGCGAGTTACGCGTTAAAGTAGCGTGGGAGGGGACGATGGTCGTGGTACGGTTAGACTCGACGAAGTGGTTGGATTTCAACGGTGGGGTTGGTTGGCGCAACGGGGCGGAGAGGGTGGATCGGTGACTAGGCGATGGAAGGGAGGGAAAACCGAGCGGCTTGCTGGTTTCACAGCGCGTGCCGTTTCAGCGCCAGATGGCTTTCGAAGAGCGAGCGAGAGAGAGAGAGACGTTAGGATCGCGGTACGTGCCCTCTTCTCGCCTATTACCCCCGAGGCGAGTATACGGTTACGCCAAAGGACGGGAAGGAAGGATACGAAACGGAGCCGACGTTCCCGAATACACGATCGGTTTTACGCTTCTCCGAAATTCCATTAAATCGTCCGTTTATTTTCGATCGGAGGCGAATGAGTTTCTACGCTTGGATTTCGAAGAGCAGACCGATATTCCGTAACCGGTGTAACGAGTAAACTGGCCGAGCGAGAAGGAGGATCGCGAATCTCGTAAGAC